CTTTTACGAACGGAGCAAAACACCCGTGCTTCTGGGAACGGGGCAAAGCACCCGTGCTTTTACGAACGGAGCAAAACACCCGTGCTTCTGGGAACGGAGCAAAGCACCCGTGCTTTTACGAACGGAGCAAAACACCCGTGCTTCTGGGAACGGAGCAAAACAGCCGTGCTTTTATGAACGGAGCAGAACACCCGTGCTTTTTATTAACAGAGCAAAACACCCCTAAGTGTGAGCAACACCAGGCTCTCCCCTGCACCCAGCGCTCCCCCGCCGAGCTACCCCTCTGTGCCAAACATCTCACACCTTTTGCATGGGAAACGCAAAGTTTCTCAGTTTTGGGAGCCAGCCAGGAACCTGAGCGTTGCACTGTCCAGAGCTTAACTAGCCGAACACAGACGTACACACACACAGTTGTTGCTCCAGAACGCGCCATCCGAGAAACGCATCCTGGTGTCTGTGCCATCTTCACCCTGCTCCCGTTGCTCCCACGCTGTCCCAGGTGTTGCATCCAGCGTGGACAGAGGGAGGAGCAGGGCACAGCTCAGATGGTGCTCTCTCCCAGCTGCTCCGCTGTGTGCCCCATGCTAGAAATAACCGACTCCGACTTCTGGAGCAGGATGTAAGTCCTCAGAATGAAACTGTATGTTTCTTTGAACTTCTGTATTTTTAAGGCATAGACAACAGGGTTCATGGCTGAGTTGGCGTGAGACAGCAGGATGCCCAGGTACATCAGGGGCTGCGGGATGGCGCAGGAGGGGCAGAAGTACAAAATGCAGTTCAGGATGCCCAGAGGCAGCCAAGACACTGCAAACAAGAGGAGGATGAGGGCCAGATATTTGGCCATTTTGTATTCCTTCCCACAAACTGTTCCTCCTCCTGGAGGACTCACTGAGCTCAGGCTTAGTTTTATCCACATGATGTAGAAAATCTCAGTGTAGAGGGCACACATGATGAGCAAGGGAAGGAGAATCCAGGTGAAGAAGCTGAAATACACCACGTAATCCATTCTCATCACAGCCAGATAGTGACACTCGATGTAGCCAGCTGCAGAGCTGCCCGTGTGCCGGTTCCATCCCAGCATGGGGACCAGCCCCACCAGCATGGACACAAGCCAGCAGAGTCCCAGAATCACACAAATCCTTTTCTTTGTGATGGCTGCCTTGTACCTGGGTGGGCAGGAAGCATCAGCCATGTTAGACGCAGTTCTTCAGAAAAAAGAACTACAATATTCAGGAACTTGGGCTTTTAAGCACTCATTTCTGGTTGGCCTCAGTTGAGTTAAGCACAGTTCTGTGCAGTTGGTCCTTAGCAGCTTCTGACATTTAAAATGTATTTTGAAACTACAGGGGAACCTCCAAGTGGTCACCGATCCCTTTCAAATGAGAACCCACAGATGCCAGGTCAAAACCTTTCCTCAGAAATCCTGGTTCATTTTGACCTGCATCAGTGGAGCAGTATGGTTGTCTCCCAGGGGAAAACCTAAAGACCACCGCCTTATTCAGACTTCAAGCACATACACATTTATGAGCAACCCTTCCCTGACTCTCTGTAGCTTAAGGTTTTCAGGCATTGCTGAATTTCCAGGAGTGCCCAGACTGCTGGTGCTCCACTGCCTACACTTGGGGAACCTCTGCCTTTGTGCGAGTTTCTCTCGGAGAACTGACGATGCCCAGGAAGCCCTATGATGCTGCAAACAAGGGAGAAGGAAACTCTAAGGGAGGAGAGAAATGGGGAAAAGACGATGAGAAGGGACCTTTGCCCAGACTCACCTGGTCGGCAGCTTCACTCGCAGGTACCTGTCGACTGCGATGGCCAGGAGAGACAGGATCGAGGCATGAGAAAGGATCATCATCAGGCAGCACACGAGCAGGCAGGAGTAGAAATGGATGACGACTCCCAGGCTCACCATAACAGCCAGCGGCGTGACAAGGATCCCCATGGCAATGTCAGTGAGTGCCAGCGAAACGATGTAAAAGAAGGTGGTCTTCTGAAGAGCTGGGTTCAGCTTCACTGCCCAGATCACCAAAGCATTGCCCACCACTGCAAATATCCCAATAACAAACTCCATCGTGATATAGATCACATCCAGGCTGCCTAATGACATTTTGGACATCTGAGGCTGTTTACATCCAAAATTAAGAAATGCCGCACTGAATTCTTTTTTTTTCCCTCCAACAGCCAGGTCAGAAGGCAGCTTCCCCCCGATCTACCTTAAATTAAGTCCCTCATTCAGAATTTTGCACACTTTCTGATCTGCATACACAACTCACTCTTTGAAGATGAGCAGAGTAAATTGTCCATGAAGATCCATTTATCAGACCTTCTATAACGCACCCTGTAACAGCCGCCTTTCCGTCTCCTCAAGGTTTCAGCACATTTAGGTGTGTTTTTGTAGAAGAGTCAACTTTATATAGTGGCAGCATCATGGTATGAGCAAACCGCAGGGGCTACCTGTTGGATGTGGTAATTTTGCTAGTCTGCATTAGCCCCAAATGCACAACCTCCCCCCACGCTCTGTGCTGCCTAGCAGGGTGAATCAGCCACTGCACAGCTATAGTGCACTGCAGCGAGACTGCTCCACCCTGAGCTTCTTTAAAGCCTGCTCAGTCTATACACGCAGCGCAGGTGAAGCATCAGAGAAGACAGGGCCAAGGCACCTTGAGTGACCTAGTCCCTTCCCCTGCCACAAAGGTGGCGTGCGGAGGGCAAATGTGAAGACACACAGCTGGATTTTGGATGAGCAAAAGGCGAACGGAGGGAGAAACGTTTCCTTTTGACTCTGTTACACAAGCTGCTCCCATAAGGTCCCATGCAGTACCAAGTTCTTGTTCTCAGGAGCTGCGTTTACAGCAGGCACAGGCAGCAGAGGAGGGTGGGCCCCGTTAAAGCCCCCATAACTCAGCGCTGCAGCAGCTCTCTCTACCAGACCCAGCTGGCTGCAGCCACAGGAGTAGATGACAGAAAAAGGAAGCTGGCAGCTGAGGTTGAGGGAGGAGAGGACACGGCAAGCGCAGGAAGTGGGGAGCACTCTTACCCACGCGTGACTCACAGCCAGGACACAGACATTTCCCCTGTCTGCTCAAAGCTGCACCGTGCCAGCTGCCCGCTCCTTCCCAGAGAAGTAACTCATTCAGCTTGCTAAAGCCTAGCGTACATCCCAGCTGTGACCCTGCACATGCCTCTCCTGGGATTTATCTCCTGCACCCACAGATATCCTGTGTCAGATTTGATTAGAAAACCAGCAAAGCCTAGCTCAGTTGCAGACTGGGACTGTCTATAGACAGCTCACCATTTTCCCAGCAGTAATTCTGCCAAAATGCCTTCCAGTCAGGGAGCAAGAAGCACTTACACCGATTTCTAGGAAGTGGAATTTGTCCAACTCTTTTAACAGCAGACAATAAAGAAGTCTCACTTATTTCTGGTTCTGTCTCCTCCCAGGGCTGATTTCACTTCTCCATCTGCAGTTTTGCCAGAAAGTTGGGTGGAAGAGACGGAGGACTCAGTGTCTGGGAAACCGAGTATTACCCATGTTTGTGCAAGGCTTCGTTACACTAATAGGGCTCCATCCACCTAATTGTTCGCTTGCTCTTTGCTCTCCTTCCTGGAGAGCGTGCATTTCTGTCTGCCGAAGAGCCAGGCTACCCTGCGACTCCCAGGCTGACATGAGCTCACAGGTTTGCGCCTCTTCTCAGTTTCATCTGAAACGGGAGCAGCTCCTCACTGCAGACCCACGACAAGGAGCAAGGCACCGCGCGCTGCCGGGCTCACCCGCAGCAAACAGATCGCACCTTTCACGCCCTCTCCCCGCTACTCCCCATCACCTCCCACACCTTTCCTCAGTCTGTCTTCCATAAACGAAGCATAGGAAAGTATGCCACTCTCTGACCATGGCTTGGCTGGTCGTCATACTGATTTCTAGCAGAAATGAGGGGCCTCGCTGAAAATGTCACCTGCATTATGAGCGTTCTTGTCAGACTAAGAAAGCTCCAAGTAAAGAGCGTTTTTTTGGCCACCTCGGGGCCTTAACTGAAATGGTATACCCTGAATTAAATCAAGTATATTTAATAAAAACCCCTTCTAGTGTCCCCTGAACAGTCTCATTTCCGATAGTGCTGCAGCATGATTATCTAGCCTGATAAGCAGACAGCTTTGCACAGTCAATTCTGGTTACAGTTCTCCCACTTATAAAACCGTGGCTTGGAAGAGGAAGCAAAGTATTTGTTTATAGCTTGCCAGTCAGCGGGCTCGTGGAAGCTTTTCCATTTTTTCCTTCAAGAAGGGATGCTGTGAGCTTCAGGAGATGTGTTCAGAGGCGGGAACGTTTCCTGGATGCTAAGGCACTCACAGCTCTGTGGAAGGGCAACAGCTGATTTGCTGCCTGAATGCTGAGGACGTGAAATACTGGAAGAGGTTTGCATGCCGGAGAGTCGCTGGAACAACTGAGCACCAGACACCGAGGACGAGTCCCACACACGGTCATCGACGCCCATGCTCCCTTCTGCAGCTCAAGCCAGGGTGGGAGCGACTCCAGCAACTCGCCATGCCAAACGAGAGCCTGGTGCTGAGCAGCCTGGATGGGATTTACATCGGTACCGAGTGCTTGGTTGCTTTGTTTGCCACCTTGGGTAACATCCTGGTCATCTGGGTGGTGAAGCTGAACTTGACGTTTCAGAACACGACTCTGTACTTCATCGTTTCCCTGGCACTGGCTGATATCGCGGTGGGGATCCTCGTCATGCCCCTGGCCGTCGTGGTGAGTCTGGGCATCAGCGTCCACTTCTACAGCTGCCTATTTATGTGCTGCCTGATGGTGGTTTTCACTAACGCTTCCATCCTCTCCCTCCTGGCCATTGCCATCGACAGGTACCTGCGAGTGAAGCTGCCAACCAGGTGAGCCCTGGACCACCACGGGCCCCTCTGCTCGCCCCGCTCCTGCCAGCTTTCCCCCACCCAGCCTCTGCCCCACGGGTGCCACCTCCTCTCTCCTCCTTAACTTGGCCCTTTTCTGACAAATATTTACTCTAAGCGCATGCTTGCGCATGGAGAAAATACCTGTGCCCAAAGCCCACCCGAGACAAGCTATCTAGCGCAGGGACCACCTCTGCAGTTAATAATGCAGCGTGGACAGAGCCCAGGGGTGTTCGTGCAGGGCTCCGTGCTATTCTGAACAGAATTTGGCCACAGGATGAGTCTGTGGTCAAACAGCCAAATTCTTCAGCTGTTCTGTTAATTGTGCAGGGTGCTGAGAGTACTATAGATATCTCTGGGTTTCTGAGGCTACTCTTTTAAATAAAATTCCTTTCAGAGTTTGCTGAAAATACAAAAGAAGTAACAGACTTATTAGGAGCTAACTTAAGAAGTCATTCACTTTTCATATTTGAATGGAAAAGTACACAAGCTAGAAATGCAAAGCATAACCTCAAGCATGAAAGAAGTCATATTTTTTATGGGAAAAGGACCTATAAAATTGAAGCGTGAAAGACCAGTTTGGTCCTATAAATGGCATAAACCAAATGTAAAGAGTAAGGTACACCCAAGAAGCTGAGAAATAAGATAGGACTGTTAATAGTAGAAAAGCAGTATCTAGGCAAGAGGAGCACTAAGATCATAGCGAAAGGAGAAACACAATAGCTGAAACCACCCAGTTACGAAGAGGGGAAGTTAAGCATCATTCTTCTTATGGGTGCTGCAAAGTAACTGTTACAAATGAAGAGTTAGGGCCTGTGTCAAAATAAGATTTGGTGTGTCCACCCCCCAAAAAAAGTTAATGCTCCATTTTGTGACAAGGAACCTGTCGTATTTGAACATGCAAGTTTTTGAAACCATCCTTAACTATTTCAAACACTTCTGTTTAACATGACCTGGGTTTTCTTCCCCAACAGATATAAAATAATCACTACAGAGAGAAGAGTGTGGTGGGCACTGGGTTTGTGCTGGTCTGTGTCCCTGCTGGTAGGATTAGTCCCCATGTTTGGATGGAACAAGAAAGAATCAAGCAGCTCTGACTTCCTCAGGTGTCAATTTGCCTCTGTGATGAGGATGGATTACATGGTATATTTTGGCTTCTTCACATGCACCCTTGTCCCTCTGCTCATCATGTGTGCTATGTACATTGAAATCTTTTACATCATCCGGAGAAAGCTAAGACAAGGTACAGCCAATGTGAGAGGGGCAGGAGTGTTTTATGGACAGGAGTTCAAGACAGCCAAATCTCTAGCACTTGTTCTCTTCCTGTTTGCAATATCCTGGTTGCCTCTGTGCATTATAAACTGCATTTCCTATTTTTATCCTGAGTGTGAGATCCCCCGTTATTTGATGTACTTGGCAATCCTGTTATCCCATGCCAATTCTGCTATGAACCCCATTGTCTATGCTTGCAAGATAAAGAAGTTCAAAACCACGTACCTTTTAATTTTAAGGACCTATATCCTGTGCAAAAAACCAGACCCAGTTCTTACAGAGCAAACAACAGACCAACAGTCATAAGTGAGGAGTGAATGTTGGCATGCCAGTATATACCAGACCGTTGACAAACACTTTGCTTTGTTAAGAAACTGATGGGAAAATGTGTGCTCTGTTTTGTCTACTCCTGCTCTCGCACAAACTGTTTTATGATAAGGGCCGGCTCCTCTCACTCAACCTGATGCACATTTGACATTAAGCCCAAAAGGATCATTTATGATCTTCCACATTATTGTACCCCACAGAATTCTGCTTGGTGGTCGCTGTACCAAGGCAAGCATCTTCATTTAACAGGACCTTCCAGTTTTTATTTATTGGCTTGAGCGTTATTTGGTAGACCAGCGACCCGAAGCACTGTTAACAAGGCAGACTTGTTGCTCCTAGTTCCCCAGCTTGGATCCATGGCCAGCTGGTTAAAACCAGTGCTTGTTCATGTCTAGTTTTAACTCAAGACTGAGAAGTCATTTTGTTATCATTTTGATTTCTCTTTCTGCCCAGCTATAGGCCCTTTGCTTACACACAGCCAGACTTGCCCCGACTGTTTTTTTTTTTGACAGTAGCACCTGTCCAATAAGACTATAGCATCTCCTGCGACACCTCCACCGCGGATGGCCTGCAACGTGAAACTACCCTCACCCGCTGCTGATGCTCCTGCTGCTGACCATCTCGGCTGAAAGGCCAGGAGCTGCACTGACTTTGGTGGCCCTCCTCTTCTTTGGGGGAGATCCTGTCAGCGCGAGACTTTCATTGCTTTTAAATCAAGACAGTGCTCACCCCAGAAGCATGCAAAATTGACCTCATAGGGCACCAGAACCGCCAAACACACTGAAGCCATTCATTAATGAGATATGCTGGGGACAGAGGAGCGTGCCAGGAAGAGATGACTGTCAAAAAATAAACTAATGATATCTTTAAGTTCTTCCCTTCTCCCCCAGCTAGTTACCAAGGATAGAACCGACTATCTCTAAACCAAAGATGCATTTTCCTAATTTGTTACTAAAACCTATTAATTTTGGGGATTCTTCCTGCACGGCGTATTCCCATGCTTAATTCTCCCTACAATCACAAACTGCTTTCCTAACACCTGATTTAAATGTAATTTGCTGCAAGTCTCCTCTGTAAACCTGAAGAACAGTTGCTCTTTTTGTAGCAACCTGTAACAGACCTGAAGACTACTCTAAAGGTGTATGTAAATATACCTTTATCTGTAGATGTCTTTGTATTAAATTGTTTCAAGATACAGAAGAGATACTTAAGAGAAATTTTGTCCACTGTTGTTTTTTTTTACATAAGGATTGGTTGGGTCCACTGAAAAATGGGATAAATGAATTCTTTGTTGTTGGCAATACAGCAGCTCGCAATCCAGGCATGTCCTCGCTGACTATTCTTACACCCTTTGTCTTCTCTATCAATTTAGACTAAATTTGAGTCTGGTCAGCTTGTGATGTGTCAGTGTTGTCACATTTTCATGAATAATAATAAAAATTGGATGGATTTTATATTAATTCAGCCTGCTCATCTCCCACGACAATCAAAAAAGCAGCCTGCGTGAAATCTCCACGCCATTTTAGTCAGTGTCCTGACTAGGACAGCACAGAAATTGCAGTACGTATTACACAACAGCTCACACAGCCTGTTTTTAGGGAACATGGGCGAAGTTAAAAGTAGGTCACTAAAGGCCAGGCTCTTTTTTCACCACCTTTAAATAATAAAAGTGGTCTAGAAAAAGCAGAAAAGAGAGCACATCATTCTGTTAGTTATCTCAGAAAGCGTTGGCGTCTGCTCCTTTAGCTGAGATCAGACATCTCAATTTATTATCTGATGTAACCCTTGTCACAGGCCAAAGCTTGTCCCTGTTACACAGTTCAGCTCTATTAATAGACAGGCCAGAGAAGGAAGTCACTGCATAAGCACATCAGAATTTTGCTACATGATCTGTCATTATCGGTTGATAGAACTGATTGCTTTCAGCAGAAAAATAGGTCCCACCTAAAGAGCAGAAAATTATTCGTAAGAATGACGCACAGCAAACTGCCTATGCATTTCTGAGAAATTGAGAAAAGAGGGAGCAGCACCACACCAAATTCCTAGCAGGCTGCCTGACAAACTCCAAGAGAACGAGGCGTAAGGACAGGGAGAAAGAACAGAAACAGAGAGGACCGAGAGCAGCGGAAGCCGTCCTGCCTTCTGAAAGCAAGCTGCAAAGGAGAGCGGGCTCAGCAAGCTGGCTGACCCTGCTCAGCCCCCCGAGAGGGAACCCCAGGCAAGAGCTCACCTTTTAGCGACGGAACAAGGCGCTCGCACAGCTGGGCCCAGCCTCTCTGCAAAAGGCAGCCAGAGGAGCAGCTGCCCCGCTGCGGGAGAGGGCTCTTCAGCTGGCTTCTGCCGGCGGTGGTGCTGGTGGAAAGCCTTCGTGCAGGCGTAGTAGGGCCCTGGTTCTCACTTCCAGCAGTTACTCTGGGAATAGTTGTGGCTTTGGCCCCAGCCAGATATCAAACAGGCTGAATGCTGCTTAAACTAGATGTGAAGATGCGTGAAGGCACATGCCAGCAGTCCACGTGTAGACAAATATCACTCAGGGAGAGCAAAGGATTTAGCTCTCCTGTGAGAGCTGACTCATCGCTGGCCGAGGGAAATGCAGCCTGACAGTCGCATCAACATCATCGCCATAGCTCTAGTAATCCATCCTTTTAACATTGCAACCAGATGTCCATTCCAAAATGCCAGGGAATATCATAGGCCACTACTGTCCGTGCATCCTTCAAAGCACCATGTAACCCATGAGCCGTTTGCACCCACCCTCCCGGGGCCAGACAATTTGTGCTGGACTTTCCCATACCAGACAAATTCCTTGCACAACTTGTCTTTAGGGAGCCCGCAAGTGCAAACACCTCTAGCAGAAACCTACCGAAACACTGAAAATGGGAGAGCCAGAATAGCAAAACAGAGGACACAAATCCCTCCTCTATTCTGATTAGCAGATACAGTTGTCCCAAATTCCTCTGTCTATAAACCAAAGAGTTGGCTGCTGGCTACCATTAAAAGCTGTGTATGACTATACAGAGCTCTTGGCATGGGAAAGGGAGAGACAGGCGGATGCTCTGGGATGAGCCTGGGACTCATTAGCAGCCATGCAACAAACAGGTTCTCCGCCACCCTCCATCTCCAAAGGCTGTACCACACGGGGCTCTCTAGGTAAGCACGCAAAATTAGCGCACTGCGGTTGGCAACATTTCACAAAGTACAAGAAATGGTTGTATGAAAACCCCAACATCCTAGCTGGTCTCGGGGCAGTGAGTCACATTTTCTTGCACTTTTAAATGCAGGATCTAACAGTATCTAAAGCAAGAAGGCAGCATTCTTGTTGGTATGGTGAAGTAACATTTGTGCAAGCCAGATAAATTTTCAGACATTCTTATTTCTCAGTTGCTGTCAGGCAGCAGACTAACATTGCTATTAATTTTAAACAAAAAAATAATTGTGAACGAACTACAATCATCCCTCACGAACCTCTCAGCAGCTGCACATTTTGAGGAGTAATATGGTATTTTCTCTATTAAATCGCACTTGAAACTGCCATGACTGGGATGAGAGCAGATTCAGCAAAACAAAGACCGCAAGTTCTACTCCTAGCCCTGTAAAACAGTCAGCAGCCTTACCCACAACATCTCTCAAGCCAGACTCCAGAACGTAACAGTGTTTGTGCACCTGCTTTTCAGTGGTCCCCTGGACTTCCACCAGCTCTTGCAGTCACGAAGGCAGGACAACCCAAGGGAGCTGGCAGAGGCAGAGCCACTGCTCTGCTAACTGCTCGTTGGGAAGACATCAAACGCACCACATCTAAGCGGAGCTACATCCAGCGGCCCGTCTGCGGCTCCGTGCTGCCACCAGGCAGCGTGTCCAGCCTCGCTCGTCTGAAGCCTCTCAGACGTCCAGCTTGCTGTCTTCAGCTGCAGCGCACAGGAGGCTGCAGGAGCCGAGGCACTTGTCCTGCCTAAGAGATTCCTCTACAGAGGTGTTCACAACAGCACGCACGCGATCACCTGCATTCTCAGAAAAGGGAAGTACCTGCCGGAATCTGACACTCTCTGGTGACCAGAAACAAGGAGGCTTCTGAAGCCAGAGGGTGGAGGCAGCAGGAAACTTAGCTGCAGTTGAGCCTTGCAGGAGAAGCAGTGTACAACAGATGGACATCGCTGTCCTTCCTCGGACACCGGGCCTCCCAAACGTGGGCGCAGGAACATGCAGGGAAGCTTCTCTGTGGCTGCTGAAGCTGAGTCACTAGCAGCAACTTTATTCCCCAGTTTATGAAAAGGGGATGATTTTTAACTTTTTACAATGTATTTCAAACACTCTGGGTAGCAACACATGAATTAACATTTCCAGAAATTTTGACTGTTACACTGTGATTGAAGCAGACATTTGCATACAAACATTTCGTTATCATCACTTCAATAAGCAGAAAATAACTAATCAGAGCACCTGGCAATCAAAAAACAAGAAAAATGCTACAGTCAGTGACAGAAGAGGGAAACTTAAGGGCACAGACATGAATAGATGCAGAGTAACATTTCTGGTTTTCAGTTCTCTTTGGTAGTTCAAAGCAATAGTAAACACACAAATGGAAACTTTACAAATGCATTGTAAGGACTCACTGAGATTCCTACAGGTGAGGAAATATGGTATAAGAAGCAATTTGTCCACAACTGTTGGCAAGCAGTTTGGAATAGGAACCATTAGTTTCCCCCTTATAACTATAAAATGAGCTGATGTTACATACAGCAGCGCTGGCATTTCTCAGAGTGCTACAGGCCTTGATATAAAGTTCTGGTAGCATTTGATGTGCAGAAAGTGCAAGCATCTTCATTTCACTTCATTGTCACACACCCACTGGTGTCCGACTCCGCTGGAAGACCACACTGGTGTAGGCAACCTCATTCTGGGGATTTGAAAGAAGCCGCAAACATTAGAAAGCATGCAGGCATCACATCTGAGCACAAACTTCTGGTGTTTCATTTGTCCTCAACGCTACACACCACAAGCAGTCACGGTCTGTCCCTGCACATGGGAAATTAGTAAACGCTATGCTGGATCAGACCAGTTGTTAGTCTAGCTCAGGATCCTGGGTCAGCTCTGCATTGGGGCTTCCAAAGAACCAATATCATGAAGGAAAACTGCAGAAATGCTTGCGCTTTAAAAAGATTTTCCCCTAACCTGCCTAATTAGCCGTTTAATTTAGCCCCAGAAGCCTTGAAATATGTGGGGAATATGGCATTTGAGCCCTATGAAAACCGAGGAGGAGTATCTTTCCTCCTACTGTCCAGGTACCTCCTCAGGTAACTCCCTGCAACTACAAGCACGGGCTGAAGCCTTGGATGCACAAAAGAAAGCGCTTTTCCTTAGTCAAAGGAACTGTCAACGAACACTTGACTCTTGCAAGAGCAAACCCCTCTTCTCACCCCCCAAATTAATATTTACCATTCTATCAAGAATCTGAAGTCTCTGCATAAAGTATTAGAATAGTTGTGACCTTTACCTCGGTGTTCTTAGCAGATTCCTCGCTCACTGTCTGGGAGGGAACTTGCTCTTGTAAATTTTGGTGGGATCTCTTACACTCTAGGAAGGAGAGAGATACCGGTCTCAGCTGTCTCAGCTGTCTACTCCGTCTGCTGTCTGCTAATTGGAGACAGCAGCACAAGAGAGGAGCAAGAGTGTGGTGACAGAGCGGCACCAGAGTGCATGGCTTCGATGGAGCTCGTAAACTCCGTCACAGACCTTCACTGCAAAGCGAGCAGTTCGGCAGCCCAGGCAGGAGGGTAGCCCAAGTCCCTGCCCACCTGCTGGAAGTGGCTACGATGAAAGCGACTGACGAGTTTGGCGAGAACGCTGTGTGGCCAGCATTAGGATGAAAAAAGACAAACCAAAGCAAACACAACCAAGAGAAACCACCACAACTTATCAGTGCTACAGTTACTTCTGTGAAAACAGCCCCTGGGATGAATCATGAGGAGTTACTGCCAGGAATGACCTGTTCATCAATACATTAATTATTCAAGGGAGACATAATTTGAGCCTTTCAAAGTAATCTCTGTAGAAGTTACTTTGAACACCTAGTGCTGCCAGATGCAGCCCAAAGAGCGTGGAAACTTCGCACCATCCATGTTTAGATGTGCAGCACAAGATGTTAAGCACTTCTCTGCCACCAGATCTGGATCGTCGTGCTGCCGTTACTCCCGCTACTGTGCCACTTACTTCTTATGAAGAGGTAGACAACTGCAAAAACCAGAACAGTTGACAGGATGCCAGAGATAAAGGCTAGCAACAGGTAGAGCATTTCATGGCTGTTGATAAACAGAAAACAGTGTCAGAATCCCTAGTTTTAACAGAGGTGTTAAGAATCAGTAGTGCTCAAATTCACCAAACTTCATGAAATGTAATACATCACTTATCCCAAGCTCCATGAGATTAAAAGGTGAGTATCTGCATTAAGCATCGCTATGAATTAAATATCTAGTGCACAGACTAGGAAATTCTAAGCAACCTTTTAAAATCTCAAGACGTAAAATGCATTACATGTAACTCCCCCCTTACAGGAGTCGTCTGCAGTCTCAGGGAACTCTGTGTTTCAAGTCAGAAAATAAAGGTAGAGCATTTACTTATCAATCCAGCATTTGACTTCTGGAGCTTTTAAGTTGGTCGCAGAGGTATATACAGTAGTAGTATGTACAGTAGTAGTATGTACAGTGACAGTAGTGGAAGTGGGTTGTGCTGTTGTAACTGGAACTGAATAGGAAAAAAAAAAATATCAAAAACTGGTTTTAAAACATGTTAATTTCTCCAGTAATATTACAAGCAACAAGAACTACATGGAGGCATGAGCCTATTCAAGTAAGTATTATCGTAAGTATAACATTTCTCTATCAGAGGGATGAAAGTAGAAACACCAGACAGAAAAATGTAGTTATTCATACTATTACTGTCCCACAGCAGCCTTTGGCAGCCATGCAGTTCTTTCCCAAACACATACATCTGCTGCTAAGCTACCCCTCCGGCAGCCCTTTTTGAGTCAGGACAGTATCAGCTTAGTCAAGAATACTGCATCTAAGAAAATTCCGTAAAGAAGAAAATACCTGTCTTTGATTTTGAGGAACCACCTCCCATTCTCTCCAAACACTAATGAACAGTAAGAGAAGCTAAAAAAAGGGGGGGGGGGGGAATAGTTATATTTATATACATGTAGATACACACACACGACAGCAAAACCAACCTGTCACCCTCTTCTAACTCACAGACTTCAGTTTTTCTCAATTTTCAGACATCTTACACAAGCTAGCACAAAGCCACAGCAGCAAACCCAGCAACTACTCAGCATGAATCCTACTTCTCAGTGTCTTGTTCCTCCACTTGCATGTTCGCTACTCTTATATGAACATGCTGCCTTCTTTTGAAAGGATTGAGTGTATTTAATAAAAAAGCACCCACAGCATTATTTCTGCAGCAGCTAGAACTGAGTGAACTGTATGAACATTTCCATAATCAGAAGCAGCTTTGAAAAAAAGCCTCTAAGTTTTTCTTTCTCAAGTTACGTTGACTTTTTCCACCCAAGCAGGAACGATAACTTTCTTCTCAAATTTGGTGGTGGAATCGTAAAGATAGGGAAATACCTACAAAATTCCTACCCTGGTGTTTCTCACTATATGGCTTGCAAACCGCACAGTGCGAACAACATGTATTGCCAACAACGACGCAAAAGTAAACATCCTGTTCTCCGTCGCCATCATCTTTTTCTACTGCATGCCCGTCATTGCCCACGTTCCAGGAGTCAAACAGTTAACACCTCCCAGTTTCCTACACAAAGTCTAAAAGCGCGTTGTGTTGGCAGTAATAAAAGTAAGGACAGCTCCATCTTACCTCGCACCATAGAACTGCTGCCCACCTGCTGGCAGAAAACTCCTGAAGCGTTTGCAGAGCAGTTTAACTGCTTGCTTTGCAAAACAGATCTCTGTCAAAATAGTTAAAGCTCAAGTGTCATTCAGATGTGGGTTACACAAATGTGGAAGTTGAGCAACTTCAGTTTTTTGTTATTCAAAAACCCAGGAAACTATGAAAAACACCTGCACTCTCAGGAACTGTTCATCTAAAAAAGTCAGTCAGCTTCAGCTTAAGTTAACTTACTTTTAAGTAAGGTTCTTACCTCTAAAGAACACCTTGTTTTGCTGAACTGTTGCACTGAAAAGTGAAGAAAACTGTGCTATTTTACTAACTCCACTAAAAATAAGCATTTCCCTACTGTAATACCAATCCATACAAAAGAGGCACGTAAGCACACCCTACTCTGCTTACTGATTTACTAAATAAATTACTTCTCAACACAGAAAGGACGAGATCACATACAGGTAACTGCTTTGGTCAGCTGGGACATTTGAGATAATCACAAAATCCTTCAGGGAAAAAGTTTCCTATAAAAAGAAAATGAACAGGCTTATACTGTGTATTATCATAATACACGTAAAACTGTTTTCCTTGTTACACAAGAGAAAAACCCAACTTTTTGTTTCTATGAAAATCCAGAAAAAAACCACCCTCTAGAATAAACTTACCCATTTCACCGTTTTAAACTTAATACTGGCGAGTTCAGTTGAAGCTATGTTTTTTGGTAGCTTTTGATACATTTCCTGCCAGCTACATCCTCTTTTACACAGGACAGGAAGACGCTTTTCATCACTATTTGAAGCTTTGTTATGAACGTGTTTTTTTCAGCTCATTTTTAAAACAAGGACATTCATTCAGGGTACCACCAAGCACTGGACTAGGCGAAGGGGAGCACTGGCCCTCATTTTGATTTTAGAACATGTTTACAATTACAGTAGGTATATATATAGGTCATCACCACACAGAATTCTAAACCAAAAATTGGTCACTGTATTGGCACAGAACTTCTCACTGGGAAGTTTGGCCTTATCTCCGGAAGCATTTGTGACCCAACAAGGAACCAAACAGAATCACACATGCTGTGGTTGCAAATCCCTAACTATCAATTAACTGTAGTAGTTTATGTGACCCATGTAGCTACTTCAAACACAAAAAAGAATTTACTGTTGCTACTGCTAGTGAAAGACAGCAGAGTGGCTGGTTTGGTTATTTGTTTAATGATACTTCAGAATGACACATTTTCCAACAGTAAGTAATGAGACGCATCAGTGGAATCAGATGTGGTTACACCGCTGCCTGTGCACTCTTTGATAACGCCTTCAGGTCCAAAATGCACTTCACAATACTCTCCTTCTGCTGCAAAAGAACAGAAAACAGCATTCAGAGGAAATGCTTTATGAAAAATATATTAAACAAGCCAAATCTGCATTCTAATGTATTTTAGATACTCCTTTCGGAACCCATAAAATGAGTTACAGATTAAAAGGGATACAGTTATAGTTCATGAAGTCAGAGATTCAAATCCAAACAGTGACCTGCATTAAAGCATTTGCATGCAGCGCTAGGAACACGTTTCCTTTCTTTGTTCTCAGCTTCATTCCTTAAAAGAAAGGACATCTAGAGCCCACCTGCAGATCTTAAGCTGCCATAGTCTTACACAGAGAATCCTGCAAGTGAGTTCCCTGACCTGTTAGCTATACATCTTATCACAAACTTAGCTCTACGCCGCAACAACAACCACCACACATGATTCTAGCTTAAATCACCAGCAACACAAGCATCTGGTACGTAGTAACTGGGCTTGTTAGCTCTTACTCAGCAGTAGGAACGCATTGCAGCCACGTTTGGAAGTCACCCAAAGATGACCTATCATCTTCTGGCTTGAGCGAGAATCACCGGACAGCAAATATTTGGACAGACTAAGATGTAAAGCAGATTAAAAAAAGCAAGTACCTGTTGAGGTGTGATGCTCTGAATGACATTTTTCTCCACCCACTGAATCATGTGATCTTGTTCTTTCTGACGCTTTAAATTCTGCATAGCCACTTGATAGTCCAGCCTTTTCTTTACTTCATTGTACACTGTCAGTAATCGTTCTCGATAATTGGCTTCCAGCAACATTACAATATTATTCTAGACACAGAAGATGAAATCAAGGGGTTAACGTTTGGCAAGAATACAAAACAGCAGCAGAACATGTTCTATTGCAAGTCACTGAATCAGGCGGTGGAACTGGCCCTGTCCGCAACAGAGGGGAAATGGTTTGTTACTTGTTCGCAATTTAAGAGGCACCTAGATTACGTGGCAGAGACTGCGGCAGAAGGGAACAGCAGAGCTGGAACTGCATACCCGCTTAGCGTCAAAGAGGTAACTGTGGCCTTCAGCCCGCCATTGCTCCTTCTTCTCCTGCTCAATGGTAGTCTCAAGATCTTTAATAGCCTCATTTTTCACAGCTAAAGCTTGAGCAATTTTCTCCTGAAAGAAGAAAGAAAAAATATGCTTCAGAATGAAAGTAAGATGCAAAGAAAACAAGTGATCTGTAATTAACTTCTGAAATTCTGCATTGAGATTTGAGAAATGTCTGCATAAACTGGATTGTGCCAAGGTTGAGGTTAAAGGATGGCAAGACAGAAGAATTAGGGTTCACAATCAATCACACTTTAAAAAAAAAAATCATTTGTGCTGGTATGAGGTGTTTTATTTTTGAAGACTTATCTAACAATACCAACGTAAGATCTAAACCATACCTTATTTAAGCAACATTAGACTCAGATTTTTATGACAGCCTTTATGACAGTATTCTTTTAAATATTTAAGCAGGTAACTTAGAAGTTATTAACTACTACAAAGTCAGATTATGGTTTGTTACCTCATTAAGTTTGTCAGCAAAAGCTGCTACATCAGACCCATATTTTTTTATGCCATAAATGATGACTGACAATATGCAGGCAGCTGCAACTGTCTCGTGGTTAATTACATAGATTTCCTTAGAGAGAAAGTAAAGCAGGAGTCCAGTTCCCAACATGTAAGGCCCTAAAGAAAAAACAAAGCAACATTATTTGTACAAAGGATAAAGAGTGGAAGTAACCTGCACCTTGCATGGGACCTGCTGCTTCTGCTCATACAGAAACAAGCAAAAATCTCTGTTTAAAGGTTTTGACGGTCAGCAGGCAACTAAATCTCCCTCCAAGATCAAGCTCACAACATTCTTCTAGCCTTTATTTACAGCACAGGTGCCTAGCCTTAGAGCCAGGAAGTGCTGCACTGGCTCATTCTTCACAACCTCCTTCTGCATATGCAAAAAATAACCTTCCCTAATATTTTACCTTTTCAGCAGCCAGAAGGGGCAGACAGAACTAAATAAGCATAACACACATTTTTAAGAAAAAAATAAAAGTATATATTAACCTGTGACGCCTGTTTTAGGATAGAGAAACTGGAAAAACTCCTCAGGGATCAAACCATAACGGACTTCTCCTCCTTTCTCAGGCAGAGGTGGCAAAGGAGCCAAACGCTGCAGAGTTGTGTGCAGTGGTCTTGTGGTGTGCAATACACTGCAAATAACGAGAAAGTTTCCATTAAGCGTCTTAGAAAAACCCACTCTTAGAGGAGACTCCAGCACATGTCCCATTAAACAGGCAGGCATTCACCAGACACGCCTCCTTTGAGGAAATGGGTGGGACCAGATAACCTCCAGCGGTCCCTTCCGACCGTAACTACTTTATAAGCCCACAACGTTAACCAGAACAACAAGAACAAAACCTCGGAATAGCGTTATTTAAAACCAAGGACTGGCGGGTTTCCGAGGCGCTCCGAGGCCTCCGCAGGCA